AACAAGAATGTCAAACCAGAAGAGCCTAACAGTGCTGTTCGCGCCGATGGAGGGCTTCGGACACATAAACGGGTGCCACGGGTTGGCCGAACGGCTCAGAGATCGCGGCCATCGGGTAGTGTTCGCCATCGACAAGAAATTTGCCGGACGTCTGGCCCCTCACGGCTTCGAAGAGGAGCACATGTACTCCGAGAACAGCGAACTACCACCGGGTGCTGTGGACCCAATATTTATCATGTTAAACGAGAATGGCCTGTTGTTTGCCCAGGAACCTATTAAGGTGGTTGAATTTTGCGCTAATGCTTTTGTTGCAATGATGGGTGAGGTACGTCAGAAAGACACCCAGTATAAGGCAGTTTTAGATAAGGTTAAGCCCGATGTGATTGTCATCGACTCATATATGTCGTCGCCGGTGCTCATGAAGTCCGGTATACCCTGGGTATGGCTGTACTCAGCCGGTCCGTTGGGAACGTTTAATAATGATAATCTACCGCCTGGTTGGTTAGGTATGTAAATTATTTTTTGAAATCATCAATCAGTATTAATTGGTTATGTTAATTTATAAATTAATTTATCATTATGAATGACACTTTCTTAAGTTTAACTAAACTTAAAATTAATTAAAATTATTATTTAACACATGAATAGGTTTACCAACAAATGATGGCAGAGAAAAGTGGACTCAACTTAAAATACAAATTGAGAGTATTTGGAAAGATCTTCACAAAGATGTTAATGAATGGATGGTCAGCGAAGGCGTGGATCCGTTGCCCTCCGAATCCAACAGATTTTTGCATCACTTCTCCAAACATCTCAACATTTATATGACTCCCAAAGAGTTGGACTACAAAGAGTTGCAGCCATTGGCCCACAACTGGCATAGAGTGGACGGCTTTGTCCGCACAACTCATGACACGTTTGAGATACCAGAATGTCTGCGGAACAGACAGGGAAAGTTGGTCCTCCTATCCATGGGTTCTTTGGGCTGCGCTATAGTAGAGCTTATGGTGCGGTTGACCACAATTCTGGGTAAATCGAAGCATAGGTTTATCGTAAATACGGGTCCACTGCATGACAAGTATTCACTGCCGGACAACATGTGGGGCCAACCATTCCTCCCGCAGACAGCGATCTTACCATTAGTTGATTTAGTGCTAACACACGGCGGCAACAATACTGTGACCGAGACTTTCTATTTCGGTAAACCTATGCTTGTATTACCCCTTTGGGCGGATCAATACGACAACGCACAGCGCCTGCAGGAGTCGGGTCTCGGCTTAAGACTGGATCCGTTTCGTTGCACTGAAGAGGAATTGTTGACATCAATCGACAAATTAGTTAACGATTCAAATTTGGCTCAAAGAATGGAATCAATTGGCGATAGGATTAGGGATAATAACGACAAACAAATAATTGCTAAACGCTTTGAAGACTTGTTTATACGAAATAATTAATTTTTATATTTATCTTAAAATTAAACACATTATAGTTTACTATAGAATTACATTTACTATTGTTTTGTTAAATCATTGTGTTTTACAGAAAATTGAATGATTTTGAGTTATATTTAACAAGGTTTTAGCGTTTATCAATAGATTCCTTATAAAAATGTTATATTTTTTATGTTTTATTAATTTTGTAATTTTTGAAACACTATTGTGAAAAATACTATTATATTTTGATTTTATGCATTCACAAATAATATTAATATTATTTAAATTGTTTGTTATATTAAACCAATGTGTGTTAAACAACTCATTATTGAGTTTTTTTTAAATTAAATTACTATCAAAATTATACTCTTCAATAACTTTTGGTTGTAATGTATTTCTAGAGGTCTGTATATACAGGGTGTACATTAATCTACTATAACATTTCAAAGTCGAATATCTCGAAAGGTATTCGGTCTAGAAAATTAAATATTATATCAAAATAATCATCAACTGCGGGAG